CAAAGTCATTTCTAACGAAGAGGATCACTGAAGCAGAGGAGTCTTCCCCCACCATGCAGGAACTGCTGTCACAGAAAATGGTGGATAAAGCACCAAAAGTCAAATCTCCTAAAGTGAGACATAAGAAGCCGAAACTTGGTGGGAAGTGCAAAACATCAGCAGTGGTTCAAAAGGTTCCGGAGTATGAGCTCTCAAGAAAGAAGCCATCCCAAGTTAAATCAAAAACAAAGAAAACTGAAGCAACACTTGACTCACCCAAGCCCTCAACTATTGGTTGTCAACATGTCAAGCCAAGAAAAAAGCTTGTGCTTGATGATGATGATGATGATGAATCAGATTTTGATAATGAAGATAATGTTGATAAGTGCTGTATTTGTAACCCCTTTCCACCTCCAGGTATTAAAGAGTGTAATGATGTTGTTATTGTGAAGTGTGCTGAATGTACAAAGTGTGGGCATTGGTGTCATTTAAGATTTTGTTCAGCAGTGAAAGTTGTCAGGAGACTTAACGAGTCCCTTTGCCCACATTGCTGCTAATTATTTACCTATAAACAAAAACATTTACAATTAAAGAAATGGATGACATAAATGGGTGACTTTTAAAGAAATGTAAGACAGAAAAACTTTATAAGAAGGAGTTGCAATTATTGATAAGAGGTATGTTGAGATTTTTGTATAATAACATGCTTGTTCCGGTGACGTCATCGCACGTTCCGATGTCTATTTATAGAGATTGCCCACGACTCTAGGCAAATAAAGCATACAGTATGAACAATACAAGGTTATTACATGTAAATATCCCTGCAAGTGGTCGCCCACTTATCTGACAAGATTTCGGAATTAAAGATGGGAGACAAAGACAATAAGACTCAATGTTCAAGGAAAATGTCGTTTTGCCACAACGATTGATGAGGCATCCATTGCTTTCCTCATTGAACTTACTGGATGGAAACAGAGATGAATTACAATGATTTTGATCAGATCTTAAATAACTGTTAACATAACATTGTCGTTTGACAACAATACGATATATGTACACTTAACAAATCTTATAAGTGTGCACCTTTTATGTCCTTATAACATTTTTGTTCATAAATATTTCTTTACAAAATTTTGTGTTCTGGCTATTGGTTGCATTGCCACACTTTTCCCGTGCTCAAACTTGTCAAATTTAATTATCCGACGCGTTCAACCGTGAACGTACAAAATTCACACAATGCACGAAAAAATTGTGTGAATGCGTGAAAGAAAATTGCACGTGATATTCTCGAATACAACAGAGATCCCCATATCAGTAAAACAGATGGGTACAATATCTATTCAACTGCGTGGCATAGCCATAGATACGCTGGATTACACCAAACAGAGATTGGTAAAACATAATTTGTTTATATAATTATTTAATCTCCATTGCATTGTAAAAACTGAAAATCATTTAAATTCAGTTCTTACCAAAGACGAACATAATTGCAAATTTGTTTTTTACTTGTTACATGTTTATATCATATGGAGGTTGCGTAAAGCATGGTGTTCACCGCAATGTAATAACAAGGCTTAAGAAGGCTTATCTTCATAACAGAGTAAGTGGCAGCGTTTAAAACATTCCTCGCTGGCCCCAAAATTATCTCCAACGGTAAATGTTACATTGATGCGGCGACGTTCCAAGGCTGTCCTGCACAGTCAGAGTGGCGCACACGGTTTAAGAACAACATTTTGCAACATCGACTTTCGACACGCACTTACATTTTTTAGAAATACATCTTAAAATTAATCTTGAATGAAAAAAAAAAAAACGAAAAAGAATAATAGCCTGTCTCTTTTTCTGTATTTATTGAAAATTTAAGCATGTTTGGGCAAATATTGATACACCTATGAGACCATTTATGCATGCACACCTATAAGATTTGTTAAGTGTATATGCATTGTGAAATGAGCCTTCAGTTATGGAAGAAGATATGTTTGTGTATATATATAAAGTGCATGACAAAAATGTACTGTTTATAGACCGCCTCCGTGGTCGAGGGGTTAGAGTCGATGGCTTCTAATCCATTTACCTCTCTGGCGTGGGTTCGATCCCCAGGAGATGCTTTGGTAGTTTAGCGCGGAGGAAGGTAGTCTAGTACTGGTGTAACTCTCCAGGAACGATGGTTAGGCAACTACCCGCCTATATGACTGAAATACTGTTGGAAAAAGGCGTAAAATGAAACAAACAAACAAAACAATGTTAATAAAATTTCGTTTATATATTTTATTTATAAGTAATTTGTTTTGCTATTGTAACAAATCATCGACTAAGTCTTATTTGCACATTTAGAGTCCGTCGTTTAACATTTTTTTGTATCCTTATAATCTTGAAATGTGTGTCTGTAAAATTATAGACTGAAAGTTATGTATTAGTAAGTTCATTTGACTTTGTTGCTATTGAATGTTAGAAGTAGGTAACAACTACGTAAGTTTTTTATATTATATATCGGCTTTTTTAAATCAACATTGTTCTTGTTAACTGCCACATGGCTGTTGTTGAATTGCATATTCCAGAAAGTAATCATGAACAACATGAACGATAGAAAAATATGTTTGAACTTCAGGACTAGAGGTATCAAAACATAATGCATTAACTTAGTTTAATCGTCAATGTATTTGTTAAAAGTAAATTTAAGTTAATGTAAACTTCGTGGGAAACCAGTGAAGAATAAAATATTTGAGCGCAAATCATTATATAACTGTGGAAGAAAAAAATTGTCCTTCGGTGTTTTCAACGGTTTTACGGCGAAATAGTAATTACTTGCACATGTATTTATGCGAAGTAAATAAATTAGTAAATATGTCGTTTTAAGTGGTTTAATTATCCCATGTACACAAGAAGTAGAGGTTTTGTTTTGGTCCTCTATGATTTTATAGTGTTGTGACGTTTATTTTTCATACTTTAAGTACTTTGATACTTGTCCGATAATTAAGGGGTGTTGTGCCTATCGCATGATTATTTCGTGTTTTTCTTCATGCGGAACTCTCGGCTTTCTTCTTTCTTTTTCCCGGGTTCTGCGAAGTGAGCAGACGTGACAGGTTTTCCTCCCAGTCCCTTTTAGAGTTTAAGGCCTTGTATTTCATAATTTATGTAATAGAGTAATTTAATAAGAAGACACAACCACCAAATTACTTCATTGGCGTTGTCGGCAGGATTAAAAGCGAGAAATTTGGTCAGGAAAGTTGTTGTAAAATTTTACACGTGGGGGCGGAGTCCGAGTTTTTGGCTTTCTCGTCAGATTTCTTTGCTTTTAGTGAGTGTTTACGTTGTTCTTTGGTGGTTGTGGGCCTGCATAGAAGCTATTTAATTCAATACGTCCAAAGTCCCATTTAAATAAAGAATATTTTGTCTGAAAAGTCCGGAAATTGTTAGAGCAAATTTGACGGAGGCGTGGCCTGTTGTCCTTATAAGGAATATATGAAATGTTGTTTTAATATGTAAATAGATTCTATTAACACAATATATATATGCTTAGGGTGCTTTTCATTTGTTTTTAGGCTGTCCAAAGAGTTCTCGAGTTATATAAACTTGTTTTTATTGCTGTGTATTACCTTGTGTAAAAAACCACAATAAAACTGAAGAAAAGAATTCTAGTCCGGTTGGCCATTTTTGCTAATAGATAAATTTTGTCAAAAGTTAGGTAATTTTTTTCAGTCTGGCTGTTAGACGGTGAAGGGGCTGTTAGCTCTTGGGTGTTGAGATTGTCATTTATAGGCAGTACTGGTTTCATATATCATTTTCTTCACCCTTTACACTTACATTTTCATCAAATATCAATGTTTTTGTAAATATTATATAAAATGCTTTTTACTTGGGTGCTGCTTCTTTGTTGTTAACTTTTTGTTTTAAATTTCTTGTAATAACATTATTTATTTATCTTTATAACTTTATAGACTAGTGGGTATTGCTTGTAGTGGTTTGCATATTGTCATAACCTTCCCTTGTGCTCACAGATATTATTAAAAAGCTTTGAGTGTGGGCTGCAGAGGATAGCTGTGGAACTGGGGTGTGATTGTGTGTGGTAATATATTTCACCGTTATCATTTTTCTATCATTTATCCCCTTTCTAGCATATATTCACCTTTTATTTACATTTCTTTTCATTAACCCTACTCTATACCAGTACTGGCCATTGGTTTGCTAAAAAAAAAGCATATGGAGAATAACATATTGTTGTTTGGTTCTTTGTTTAATTTATTGCAAAGATATTTTAATAAGATAGGCTGTTAGCCTGATAAACTAATAAATAAATTAATGAAATAGCCTGTTAGCCTGATAAACCAAATTACCTACCTCATTAATAAATCAATAAATAAATAGAAGCAAATTAATTATACAAAATGAATGATAAGGATCCCACTTCATTAAGACAGAGCAAATCTGATACAGATTCAGAAGCAAAAAACAGTTCATTGCATTATCCAAATCAGTACCATGTGACTGTATCAAGGGAATCAACTGCTGCATCGATAGAAAGATCTATCCAAAGAAGTGAGTCACCTGAATCAATTATGCCAAGCATGCGTATTAGAATTAATTTTCCTGGCAAAGAAGAATTGATGCAAATTCCTGGTGTTGGCAATGCTATTGCTGATAGAATATTAAGTTTGAGAAACAATGGTATTAATTTTGATGAAGAAATTTAACATTCATATTTAAAAGGTCGAGTGAATAGCACAATGTTGGAGCACACAGATTTTGAGAAAAAATTATCAATTTTAACTGAGTCAACGGATGATTTAAATCTAAACCAAGAAGAACAATTATATATCAGTAGTAGATTTGACCAACAAAGGGATAGATTTGAACAACAAAGGGATATATTTGACCAACAAAGGGATAGATTTGACCCACAAAGGGATAGATTTGACCATAAAAGTGATATCCGTCAAGTTAACAATCAAGAAGAATTATCAAATTTTTTAAAATATATAAATGAAAAAGAAGAGTTCGAAAGAAAAGAAAAGGAAATGCAAATGGCAGATTCAGAGAGGCTGGCACAACGATTGATGGGGATATTCGAAAAAGGTGTCAGGCGTTCGGAAGAAAAAATGGAAAGTCTTTTTCATAATTTAAGAGAAGAAGTCAATGAAAGAATGCAAACGCCATTACGGTTGAAGAAAGAAAACAAAATTGAATCAAGAGGTAAGAAGGAAAAGATTCACAGAAGAAGCAATTATTCCTCTGATGAGTTTACTATATTAGATGATGGATATTGTAGACCAAAGAAAATATCATCAAAGAAGGAATCAAAATCATTTGAAACAAGGCTTAGAGAAGAGAAACACTCAAAAACTCATACACAAATCATTAGTTTATCTTCTGATGCTGATAGCAGTGATGATAAAAAAGATCTTTCAAGAAGAGAGAAAAAAGGAAAAAGAAACACTCAAAGTACCATAAACAAATAAGTAGTTCATCTTCAGATGCTGATAACAGTGAAGATGAAAGAAAATCTTCCAAGAAGAAAGACAAGAATAAAAAGATGAGGAGTTCATCTTCTAGTGATGACAGTGAATATCAACCTAAGAAGTATATAGGAAAAATTCCAAATTTACATACAGTGGAAATGAAGGTTGGCTCACCTTCAAGAAAAAAATCACACTATTTGCTAAAACCAATAAATGGGGCAATGATGAATGTTTATACCATTTATGTTTCAGACTTACTGGTAAAGCAGCAGAATTTTACACAGCTATATCCGAGGATGATGATCTATCATACAGAGCATTAATGAAAAAACTGGATAATCGCTTTGGATTAAAAGAATTACCAGAAACGGCACACTCGCGTTTTGTGCAAGCATCTCAGAATGCTAATGAACCATTAGAGGAATGGTCAGATCGTATAAGAAAATTGGCATCGCGCGCTTTTAAAGAACTTCCTGAGAAATATGCAAACAGACAAACAATAGTACGCTTTTGCGAGGGTTTATATGATAAAGCAGCAGGTCAGATTACAGGTATGCACGAACATAAGACAATGGAAGCAGCTGAAGAATATATAAGAAAGTATCAGCAAGTTCAACAGAGCATTTATGGTAAATTGAAAAGTTCGCGTGGTATGCGAGACAAAGATGAAGAAGGTGGAGCTGCGTCAATTAATGTTTATCAAGTCCCATCCGGTAAAGCAAGTGATTCTTTATCATTGAACGATGTACAAAAAATGATCAGTCAAGCAATAAATGAATCTAGAGGAAACAATGGTCAAAATCAATATCCAAGAGGCGGCAATAATAGTAGAGGTTATTACAACAATAACAATAACAGTAGAGGTTATTACAATAATAACAGCAATAGAGGTTATTATATTAACAACAGAGGTTATTACAACAATAAAAGAAGCTATAACAATTGGAATCAGGATAACAACAGAAATAGCAACAGAGATAATAGATACTATGGTAGTAGGGATACTTGGAATAAAGAGGGAAATAGCAGCAATGATCAGCAAGGGGAACAATTGTGTTACAATTGTAATCAGCAGGGGCATATCAAATTCAATTGTCCAGAGATTGAATGTTTTGGTTGCAAGAGGAAGGGGCAATTAAGGAAAACTGCCCAGTATCAGCAAGACAATTAATTAGTTTAAACATATTTATTTAAGCTCGATTGCGAAACAAGTTCTTGCAACTTATATCAATCACTTTCGAGTCCGCTTCCTGGAACCAACCAGTACTGGTGTCTTATGGAGAAACATGGTCGTGACCCGAGTAGGGCTCGAACCCATGATTTCTTGGTTGAGAGGCAGACACCTTAACCATAAGGCCACCGCTCCTCTTGAAACTCTACTGAAGACAATTAATTAGACAGCCAGTTAGTGAGATAAAGAGTGATGCAAAGGATTTAAACAAACTGGGGTCGTGTTAGAGTGTCGAAGCTCGACCCTTGAATTTGATGGCCGTCAAAGCAATGAACCAATGATATCTACACAACAGAAGGGTCAATCAATTGTAGAAATAAAAGAGCAAAGAAGAAAGACAATTGGCAAAATAGATAGGGACACAGATAAAGTCACTGTAAATTTGAATGTAAATAATGAGGGTGTAAATAAGGAGTCTCCAGTGTTGTCGGAATATTCATCTAGAAATGAAGATAAAAGTATATCTAATTGTTCCGAGAAAGAAAATGTTACTATTTGTGCATTATTTTCTGGGTCCCAGTATAGAACAATTGTAAAGGTTGGTGATATAGATGTAGAAGCTGTGGTGGACACAGGGGCGGAGAAAACTATAAGTTCTACAGAAATTTTCAATAGGTTAAAGGTTAAGCCAAAGAAAATCATGGACATAACATTGTGGACAGCAGCGAAAGATCAGACTACTAAAGGATTTATTGCAGGGCCTGCTAGGCTTCAGATAGGAACAAAGGTGTATGAAGAAACAATACATGTTGCGGATGTTGTTCAGGATATGTTGTTAGGCTTTGACTTGCTCAATAAAAGATGTGTTTTAGAAATGGTCGAGGGCATACTAAAATTAGATGGAGAAGACATACGTCTGCGTGAAGTCAGTAATGATTATGACCCTGTTATTGCAAGAATGTCTGTTGCTAAAAGAAAGGTAGTCCCTCCAAATAGTGCTATGTACATACCATGTAATTTAGATTATAATATGCGTGATTTTATGGTCGAGCCGAATGAAAACTTGAAAATGTTCATGCTAAAGACATTACACAAAAAGGAAAAAGAAGCAATAGTGTGTGTATTAAACACTTCTGATAAATACCGAGTGATGAAGAAAGGGAGTGAAGTAGGCATGGCTGTTCAAGTTTCAGAGGTTATGCGTCAGAGGGAAGAAGAGCACATATATGTTGGATCTTTGTCAAAAACAAGTACATTTTCTGATAAGGAATTAATACCAGACCATTTGAAGGACATGTATGAAAGGTCGATCAATCATTTGAATGAAGATCAAAAAAGACAAGTTAGCAGCATTTTTGTGTAGTTAAAAGGATGTATTTGCAGAATCCGAGTTTGATTTGGGAATCTTTACGGAATTAGAGCATGGCATAGATACTGGCAATGCTAAACCAGTGAAACAGCGCATGCGCCGGACTCCAGCGTGTTTCGTAAATGAAGAGGAAGCACATTTAAATAAGATGCTTGATGCTAAAGTAATACAAGAATCAACTTCAGAATGGGCATCAGCTCCAGTACACATACGGAAACGCGACAACAGTGTACGGTGGTGCATCGGTTATAGAGCACTGAATGATTGCACAGTAAAGGATGTCTTTCCATTGCATTAGTGGATGACTGTTTGGACACTCTTGCAGAAAACTATTGGTTTTCCAAGTTGGACGCAAATTCTGCATATTGGCAGATAAAGATTATAGAAAAAGATCGGCATAAAACTGCTTTTGTCACAAAATATGGCCTTTTTGAACATTTCCGTATGGGATTCGGGTTATGTAATGCGCCTGCAACTTTTTCGCGCGTTGTGAATCTCGTGTTACGAGGTTTGAATTGGAAAACAGTACTTGCTTTTCTTGATGACATTTTAGTTCTTGGTAAGACCTTTGATGATCATCTTCAAAATCTTGAAGAAGCATTACAGCGCTTTAGAAAATATGGACTGAAATTAAAACCTAAGAAATGCATATTTTTTCAGGATGAAGTCGAAATTCTTGGGCGCATTGCAAGTAATGATAGACTTTCAATGGCGGAAAAAGACATTAAGGTAGTTCAAAATTGGGAAACTCCACAATGTTCGAAAGATGTTCAAAGATTTATAGGGTTGGTAAATTATAACAGGATGTTTGTGAAAAATTTTGCCGAAATGAGTGAACCATTATATAGAAATGTTGGGAAAGACAAATTTAAATGGGAGGAAGAACAAAAAAATGCTTTTGATGTCTTAAAGAAAACTTTAATAAGTCAACCAGTCCTAGCATTACCGAACAATCATGATGAGTTTGTATTGGATACAGACGCTTCAAATATAGCTGTAGCTGCGGAATTACTACAAATACAGAAGGGACAAGAAAAAGTTGTGGCCTATGGGAGATACATTTTGACTCCGGAACAACAAAATTATTGCGTGACAAGAAGAGAGCTTTTGGCCGTGGTACGGTTCACACGACAATATGAAGATTGCCTGTTAGGCAAAGATGTAGATTGCCTGTTCGGCAAAGATGAAGATTGCCTGTTAGGCAATAAAGAAGATTGCCTGTTAGGCAATGGAGAAGATTGCCTTGTAGGCAATAAAGAAGATTGCCTTGTAGGCGATAAGGATGATTGCCTTGTAGGCAATAAGGAAGAGGATGAGTTGAGGAAGGAAAAAAGCAGATTGCTTGCCTGGTAGGCTTAGCAAGACGTCAGGGCTTGCGTTGAAGGATGTTCTCTTTGTACTGGTTTGAAGTCCAGGATCAGAGATAAAACTGACCGCCATAATCTATCTAGGGTTTCAAATAAATGGCGTCTTCATCTACTGTGGGGGAGGATAACACTGTTTTTGAAGTAAGGATATTTTAATTTAATAAATGGTAAGTTGACTCTTTTCCAAATAAAGTGGGGGAGGGGTGTGGTGACGTCTATTTTTCATACTTTAAGTACTTTGATATACTTGTCCGATAATTTAGGGGTGTTGTGCCTATCGCATGATTTTTTCGTGATTTTCTTCATGCGGAACTCCCGGCTTTCTTCTTTCTCTTTTCCCGGGTTCTGCGAAGTAAGCAGACGTGACAAGGTTTTCCTCCCAGTCCCTTTTTGAGTTTAAGGCCTTGTATTTCATAATTTATGTAATAGATTAATTTAATAAGAAGACACAACCACCAAATTACTTCAATATTGTTTTATTGAAACTCTCGGAAAAATGGGTCAAGTAACGATGATCATGTTTCTGGTTCTTTATAATAGCCCAAAGGCAAGTGCAGTGCACAAGAATCATAAATCCATCTTGACTAATTACAGAGTAATTGCCCTTTGATACTTTTCCTTGTCCGAAGCATAACTTGAAAACTACTGGTTGGAATTCAAAACAACTTCATACAATTATCAAGTACAACAAGGGAAGTGCAGTGCACAAGAACCATAACCCTATCTAAAGTAATAACAGAGTTATTGTCCTTTGTTACTTTTCCATTGCTTTCTTTTGTCCGGACAATAACTTGAAGACTAATGGTTGGAATTCAATATAATTTCATACAATGGTCACGCACATTTAGAGGGAGTGCAGTGCACAAGAACAATAACTCCATCTTGTCTAATTACAGAGTTACCGCCCTTTGTTACTTTTCTTTGTCTAGACCATTACTTGAAAACTACTGGTTGAAATTCAGTACAACTTCATGCAATTGTAAAGCACATTAAGAGGAAGTGCAGTGCACAATAACCATAACACCATTTTGACAAATTACAGAGTTATTGCCTATTCATACTTTTCCTTGTCCAGAGCATAACTTAAAACATACTGGTTTGAATTCCAAAAAATCATACAATGATCAAGCACAATAAGAGGAAGTACAGTGCACAAGAACTACAACTCTGTCCAGAGTAATTATAGAGTTATTGCCCTTTGTTACTTTTCCATTTCTTTTTTCTTGTCCAGAGCATTACTTGAAAACTACTTGTTGGAATTTAATACTATTTCATACAATGGTCAAGTATATTGAGAGGAAGCACAGTGTACATAAATCATAACATCTAGTTTATAGATCTAAAATTATAAAATATGCATAGCAACTATATGACTGAGAATATTTTTAAGGTACTTAAGTAAAGAAAATGAATCTAAGCAAGGTTTCTCACGAGAAATGAACCCCAATCGCTTGCGCCCCTACACTACAATATGATAAAAAAAGACCAACAAGAAAAGGCGGTGTTCAATGAAGGCAACACCAACACGACCCAGCAACAAGAACCAGTGGCGAGGAGCCCAGACGAACCCTTAACAAAAACGGGACCGGGCACAAGGCAGAGCACGGACAGGCTAATCACTGCAATGATAAATAATTTGTAACTGATAAGGAATTCAAAGAAAACAAATAAATGATTGAATAATTTGTAACTGACGAGGAATTTAAAGAAAACAGATAAAAGATTAAACAATAGGCCCAGGTGATCGTTTAACCGAATGAAAAAAAAACACACAAAAAAACACAAAAAACAAACAAACAACAAGAATAAATATCCACAAGGCAGAGACAACGTTCGCAGGACGCGGGCCCCAACACACTAAAAAACCTAGAGCGGACATATGAAGCCTGCATATTACAATAACACGTCAAAAGACAAATTTAAAAAACAGGCCACATATCCTGAGGTGATTTAACAGTTTTGTTTGTTTGTTTCATTTTACGCCTTTTCCCAATAGTATTTCAGTCATATAGGCGGGTAGTTTCCTCACCATTGTTCCTGTGAGTTACAACAGGACTAGATAACCTTCTTCCGCTCTTAAGTACCAAAGCATCTCCCGGGGATGAACCCTAGCCAGAGAGGTAAATGGATTAGAAGTCATCGACTCTAACCGAACAGTAAACAAGTGAGGACACCTAGCACCGGCTTAAACAGGTTGTTTACTTTGTCCTTGCTTTTATACCGCATATAATACAAAGAGATCGATTTGTTTCGATTGACCTAAA